GTACATCTGTCGGAGCACGCTGTCGTTGTCCGTGTCCTCCATTACCCGGGGCTCCAGGTCCTCTAAGCCGTCTGCTCCGCCCTGCCCCTCACCGCGGCGGGCCTCCCGGTTTGGGGAACCATCTGAGAATGCTCCACGTCCTGCAGTTGGGGCCGCCCCCCACAAAGGCCGCCATGGCCATGGAGCACATCGTAGAGTAAGGCTCGTCTCCCAGCATGTCCTGTCCAAGATCTCCACCCTTTCGCCTGATGTCCACTGCCCAAATGTACTTTGAGAAGGCCGGGTTGTAGGCATGGAGGTAAGCATCCAGTGCCCCCGCATCAGACGGCTTTGACGACTCCGGCACCGGACGTGGCGTCCACCTTAGTCTGGGCTTGCCCCCTGGGGTTTCCGTGTGTCCTTTGTCTGACCCTCCGGTCATCTGGCCCTGGGCTTGCTGCTTGCCCTGACGGTTCTGCCCGCCCTTGGAACGCCCCTTGCCGGGCGGATCCTCACCTCTGGGTCTCTCTGAGGGTTCTTCCCACTGCCTCGGTGGGTGCGGGGGAAAGGGGTACGCCACCCCTTTGGGATTCTTGAAAGCCCAGTGGTCTGGCCATGGGGTCGAGGAGGTGTTGGGGGACTTACCTTTGCCGCCCTTGTCGGTCCCGAGGGCCAAGATCCTTTTCCCCCCTTCTTGGGCTTCTCCCACTGAGTCTGCCACACCTTGGGTGCCTTGCTCTTGCTCTTCCCCTTCTCCGGCGCCCTGTTGGGGTGCTCATAGACCTCCCGTTGCCAGAAGAGGAAGTCGCCCCTGATGTTCTTGAGGGCTTCGGAGAGAGTGGTGCCCTGGTGCACCATCTCGTGAATCTTGCGCCATGCATTGCGCTCTGCGAACAGCAAGGTGGTGTCGCTCGGGGGAGGTTTCCTGCCGGCTATGTCTTCCCCATAGAACCAGGCATACCACATCCAACTCCTCCTTGGTGACCCTCAGGTTGCCAAACTGCGGCAGTGCTGCCGTGCACATCAGGAGCGTCGTCCTGAAGGTTAGGTGCAATCGTTCCAGCTGGCGCCGAGATGTGGGGTGGCTCCTCACCTCTTCTTCATCCTCCCTGTCCCAGCCGTCCACCGTGATCTTCTTGTGGGTGGATGAGGGGCGTTCCCCGGAGCGCGCTCACGATGTGTTTTGCCGGGATGTAGCCCAATTCGCCCTTGGCAATCATGCGCCATTGCTTCTTGAGGTAGCCATCATTACCTTGGAGCTCCAACCTCGGCTTCGGGGTCCCATGCGTGGCCACGTAAGCATCTTCCAGCTGGCGCCTGTCACACAGGACCTCCAAGGGAGCCTTTGTCGGGCCCGCCTGGCCCGCCGGGTGGTCACCTTGGTTGCCCCCCCGGACCAAGTTGGCTGCCACCCGAACTGCCTGAAGGAGGCGCATCGCCGTGAAGGCCGAGGTCTGGGCGTTGAACCCATTCTCTCCATCCTGGAATCCCAGGTCCCGGGGACCATTGTCCCCAGCCGCCGCCGGGGTGTTCCAGCGATCCGCCAGGTCTTCCACCGTGACGTAGCCCGATGCACCCAGGGGATTTCCTTGCCCACCAGGATGGCCGCCAGTGGCTTCTGCAACTTTGCCACGTCCTCCTTGATCTCCGCTGGGTCCGGTGGTTTGGCGGGCGCAGCCGCCATGACCTCTTACCTTGGTGTGGGTGGGTGGGTTTTCAAACAGCTTGGGTTCCAGGAACCCAGACAATGCTTGAGCCAAAATGGCACATGCCATTGTGGTCAAGCATTCCAAACACAGTTCATGTTTCCACATGCGTTTCAACATTAACAAAGTGTATGTAAGCTAACCAAACGGCACCACACAAGCATGCGATAACTCTTTTATCCAAGCAATGTGTTGGTGCCAGGGACTCATCTTCCCCTGTCAGATGTCAACGGCTGGGTGGGCCCCATGGGCCACCCACCACAAACTCTCAAAAACTGAAGAACGGGTGTGCAGACTGATAGCGCCATTTCCGAAGGACAGTCTGGCACACCCGCCATTTCCGAAGGATGCCAGTCTGTGCTGAGGGCCCTGGCCAGAGCCCTGTCCTGGGCCTCCCCCCCCCCGGTCGCCAGGGCCGGGGGCACCTAGGCTGCCAAGGGTAGGGCCACCACCTCCGTCTCCGACTGGGTGTCTACAGAGTCATCCGTTTCAGAGCCCGAGTCCGCCGAGGAGTCCGAGTCCTCCTGCAGTGCGGGGACCTCCGCAGGCTCCAGTACCCAGTCCGCCGGGAAGCCATACCTCTTGAAGCAACGTTCGCACTTGCCATAGGCCTCCGGCTCCGTCATGTAATCCAGCACAGAGACCTCCTGGATCTTAGAAGCCGCCGGTCGCTGCCTCCTCGGATACCAGTCGCCTGACCGAGGCCACCTAGGTAGTCCACCAGGGGATCCCCGTGAAGCTGTACTTCGGAGAAGGGGACCGGGTTGCGGTTGATTCGTGCTGCTGAGACCGTCTTGGTCTGCCAGGCCTTCAGCTCCACAGTGTTGCTGGTGTGGATAAGGTCCTTGGGGTGAACATGCTGGAGGTCATTGAAACGAGCGCTGCACCCAACCTGGAACCGGGCGAAACCCAGGATGAAAGCGTCCAGCACCTCGTGCCTGCGTACCGGGCCGGTGGCACCCAGGTGATCGTAGCCAGCCCCCTCCTCCAGAGCCCATATGACCTCTTTGCTGGGGACCACCGCCTTGCGCTGTGGCCGGGTGACCGCTCTTCCAACGAGCTCTTCTTGGACTTGAGGCGATGGAGAGAGAGCGGACATGTCGTTCCTGCCATGGAATCACTGTGAAGCCTCTCTTCCACACACTCTCGTAGACCAGGCAATGTTGCCTGAGTGTCCGGAACCTACTGTCCCCCAGGAGGTCCAATGCCTCCTTGCGGAAGTCCTCCCCCAGGATGTCCTGCATGTATGCGATGTGCTCCGAGCAGCGCCTCCTGGTGCCATGGGTTCTGCGACGCTCTGAGCATCCTGATGTAGGGGACATACTTCTCCTTGATGTCCCCCACCTGGGGGATGTCCTCGGGGTCATCCAGCTCCAGGGGGCAGAATAGCCCCCTCTCCAGGGCCTGCCTGAGATCATCCGGCCACGCTGACACTTCCAAGGGCTTGAGAGTGTGGTTGAGCATCCATGCCTGGTTGGTGTCCTGGGTGCGCTTGTTTGCCGCCTGAGCCTCCTGAATGGAGCCGGCCAATGCCTGGCTGGCGTCAACGCCCTTCAGCTTGGCCTTGAACCGCTCCAGGTTGACCTTCCTGAGGGCACGGAGCCCTCATTGGCCACCTCCTCTGACGGCAGGGCCTGCATGCCCTCCTGGAGAGGCGCCAGGATAGCCATCTCATTGTCCAGCATCTCCTCAGTGACCAACTCCTTGTGCCGCCGCCTGGCCGAGGCCTCCTCCGGAGTCGGTTCCCGATGCTCCTGCAAGGCCTTATGCAGCTCCTCCTTCTTCCGGATCGCCTGGTCCACCTGGGGGTGGTAGAGCTGGAAGCTCTGAGCCTCCGCCTCCTTCAGGGACCGCTGCACTTTGACCTTGATCTCCTGGCATTCCCGGACCTTCAACGCCTCGTCGTCCGCCTCCATGGACAGGATCTCCTGCCGGATGTCCACCCGCCTGTTAAGCGGGACCGCGTCTGCCATGGTGATCTCATCTGCCGTGTCCGTTTTCGGAGGGGCTCTCCCCAGGACCGTGCCGTCCACCAAGTTGCGGTCGGCCTGTGCCCGGGTACCACCGGGGCCAGCGGCACCCAGGCTTCCCCGTTCCCGCTGGATCCAGGTCGGCTTGCCCTCCACGATGAGCAGGTTGTAGGTGATGCCGTCCGCCTCATAGGTGTGCCTGGAAGGGGACGAAATCCTTGCCTGGGCAGACCCAGCACTGCTTGGCTGCCTCTGGCCACCCCGTCCTTGCACATGAACTTGTAATCGGAATGGCCTGCATCGAGCCTGTGCATTCGCTGGGTGCCAACGCACGCCTTGTTCCTCTGGAACTGCGAGGCCCAGACCTCCTCCTGCCGGATCTGGATCTTCATCGGGACATAAGCCTCCAGGATGCGAATCACCAGGTCCTCCGTGAGATTCTTCCCGACAAACTTGTGGAACAGGGAGACCGCCTCCTCCACCGTGATGTCCCTCAGCAAAGTGGCCGCCGATGCTGGAAGGACTGGAAAAAGGTCTGGGAGGTCCACCAGCTTGAAATAACCGGGTCGGCCCTCAACCGGCACCAAGGAGACCGGTTTGTTAACCTGAGCCGTGGTCTTCTGGGAAGCCGCCACGAAACCCCTCAACCTCTTCGTGGGTGGCGTCTGTGCCTCCTCCGGTGGCGTGGCCCGCTCCGTGACGTCCGCGTCTTCCATGTCCTTGTCATCCTCCTCGGCGGGGCCAGGGGCACCCAAGCCGGAAGTCGGTGTGGCAAATGCCACACGGAGACGCTCCAGTGCACTGGAGAGGTCCTTCATCACATCAGTAGCCGAAGCCGACGGGGGGGCCTCGGGCTCGTCCAAAACCAAGCCGGCCGCCACTGCCGCCTCGCGTGTGCGAATTTCCTGGGCCTCCTGGCTGGCCATTTCAACCTCCTCCACGGTGAGTGTCTGGTCCTCAATCAGCTCAAAGGAGGTGGCCGAGGTTGCCGAGGAAGCCATTGCTTGATCGGGGTTAGGTTCGAAAGTGTCAAAGCTCAAATTTTTCAAACAGCTTGGGTTCCAGGAACCCAGACAATGCTTGAGCCAAAATGGCACATGCCATTGTGGTCAAGCATTCCAAACACAGTTCATGTTTCCACATGCGTTTCAACATTAACAAATTAGAAGGCTCCAAACCAAATACCAAGAAAATAGCCCACAGAAGTCCTCCAATCCTCCCAACTGAGCGTTTTCTGACCACTTGCCAGGGGACAGTCTTGACTTCTTTTGCAGGAAATGGCCGTAGGCCAGTGTAGTGATCGTACTTTGCTTGGCTTCTCAAGGGATCTCTTTCTTGCTGTCCTTCAGTTCGGTTCCTGCCAGGACATGAATAATCCGGATCCACCTTGAGCACTGGCCGCCTTCAACTTGACGGGCCTTTTCCCAGCTTCACCAAAGGAAAAAACGTCAAACCGACAACCAAGCCAAGAAAGCTTTCCGCACCCAAGGCACATGGGCGCATAGACGGGCTGTGCCCGCGCCTGACCAGTCAAGGAGATTCGCCCGGGCGATCTTTCTTCCCCACGCTCCTTCCAACCATACTCACTTCACTCACGCTCGAATGGTCAACACTCACTTCACTCACGCTCGAATGGTCAACACTCACTTCACTCACGCTCGAATGGTCAACACTCACTTCACTCACAATCAAATGGTCAACACTCACTTCACTCACACTCGAATGGTCAAGACTCACTTCACTCGCACTCGAATGGTCAAGACTCTCTTCACTCACGCTCGAATGGTCAAGACTCACTTCACTCACACTCGAATGATCAAGACTCACTTCACTCACACTGGAATGGTCAAGACTCACTTCACTCGCACTCGAAGCGTGGGGATTGGTCAACGGGAGTCCCAACTACACAAATGCCGTTTTTGTTTTTGGTCTGGTGCACAGCCTAGCATCGCGTTCTTAGACTCTTGCGCCTGTCACAAAACCCGCCTGGGTTGGGCCAGCACCCACGACGGCCTCAGGCATCGAGCCAAAGGCGGCTAGCCAAGGCTGAATCCATTTGCAGACCCCGCGACTCTCCCTTTTGGGACCACACCTGGACGCGCACACACGCAAATTCCCATGCCACGTGATGATTTCTCTGACAGAAGAAGCTCCGTCTACAAACCGTCGCGTTCCGGCTTCCGGACATGACTATCTGCAAGGCTTCAGCTGCTAGGAACGGCAAATCATTGTGGCTTCGATCTCAGCAAATTAGCAAAACTCCCCCCAACTCAGGGCTTTGGTGCCGGTAGGATGATATGGCTAAGTTTGGGCTAGGTTTAGGTGTTTCCGGATATGTTAGGGTTTAGGGTGCATAGGTGGGTTTGGAGTTGGCGTATTGAGGCCGTTTTCGGAAGGCTTTAGGGCTGGTGTAGGGTCAACTTAGGGATGGTTTGGGGTTGGGGCAAGGTCGGGTCGGCTCTCGGGGATGATGGCTCAGGCAAGTTTAGGGCAAATTTAGGTAACTAGGGTTGGTTCAGGGAAGGTTGTTGGATGGTTTCAAGTGGGTTTGAGAGGGTGGGTGTTTGGATGGGTTGGGGTAGGTTCCGGGTTGATTTAGGATGGGTGTAGGGTGTAGGGTGGAGGGGTAGTTAGGGATAGTATGTGTAAAGTTTGCTTGGGCTCTTTCATATAGGCTTCTGATTGCGCTTTGGATGGTTTCGAGGAATTTGAGCCATGTGCTCGGTCCATTCAGCCCCTTTGACACGCCGGGCCATCTAGAGAACAAACAACACGAATTGGCGGCTGGCAAGCGGAGCTCTCATGTTACACTCCGATCCAGGCTCCAAGATCCAGACCTGTGAGCCAGCTTGGCCCACATCGCACCCCCGCCTTTGACTTTGCCTGAATCCCCCAAATTTAATTTGGGGGAATCCTCTTGAACTCACTTTGGGAATCCTTCCAAATTTCATTTCTTGTTTTAGATTAATTTTGGCACCTTCTTTTTCCTGTGATTGTCAGGCCCACCCCCCTGTGATTGTCAGTCCCCCCCCCAAAAAAAAACTGGGTGAGTTCCCTTCCCAAGTTGGCAGGTCCAGGTATTTCGTGGGTGCTTCGCGCATCGCCCCGTGGCCACTCGAAAAGATGCGGGTCAAAACCCCGTACCCCCAGTGAACATCCCAATCCCCACTAAAATAGGTTCTAAAATGGGTGGGGATTGGTACCATTGGTAGCATTGGTTTTGACCCCGTGCACCCAGTGCACCCACCCCAAAATGGGATCTTGGTTTTGACCACAGCCACGTGCCGCATATCTCGGCCCCCGGCCGCCAGCTTCTGCTCGCGATCCTCCAGGCTGGCGCAGTGCTCCCGGAGCCTGCGCCACGACGCCGCTTTCCCGGACCCCGTGGAGCCAGTTTGGGACCTTGTGTTTAACGGGAAACAGGAAGTCCCGCCCAGGTGGGAGAAACCGCGCCATTTTGAGGCAGGTCAAGTGGATTGGCCAAACGAGAAGTCCTCGAGCTTTTTGTGTTTGCCAAGATGGTCCAAACCCAAAAAGCGGCCTTAACCTGAAGGAACTCAGGAAGTGAGTTTTCAGGGTGGCCGCTGTTGGGGAAACCAAAACGGAAAACAACATTTCAGACCGTGGCTGGTTGCCTTCGAGACAAACCTCGGAGTCTCTTTTGAGCGGTTTCTGTCAAGAGGAGTTCGTCACAAGGCGATTCAAAGCACCCCAAAATCACAGAGGAGCTGGGCAGTTCCGCGCTGTCAAGGCAGACTTTGACCAGACCATGTTGGGACCAACGGTACAGCGAACATGGATAGCCGCAAAGGGGAAGGACTTTTAAAAGAACCGCTCCTTGGCGGGGCAAATGTTCAGCATCACTTTCCGGCTGCGGATCCATAGCAGCACCCGAAACTGATCTGCCCGCAATTTGTCTGATGCCATTTGGATACTGGAGACACTTAGACTCAGAATGACATGCCGGGTGCGTGAATTCAATGGCGAATCGACCAGGCCTGGCGAGTCATAGGTAGATAAAACCAAAGTGATCAATTGGAATGCAGCCACAGTGGGTCGAAGGTGTGTGCTTTACAGTTGCTTGCCCCGTCTGTGCTTTCGCCGCCAACTTTGCGCGCTCGTGCATAACTAGAATATGGGGGAAGGAGTTCATGGTTCAGTGTGCAAGAGAGCTGTCATATAAGCCGTACATGGGCTGAGTAATAAGTAAACATGGAGTCAAAAAGGCCACAAGTGTGTGTGCTTGTGTGTGTGTGTGTTTCCTCCAATATGGAGGCTTACATTGTAGTTCCCTTTGCAGCCTATTCTTGCTTCAAGAAGAAGCCAACCTCCAAGATGACTCCGGCGCCTCGAGTCGAGGGAAACTGGATCCGTCGAGTTGCGCTGAAGCTTCGCCTCTGCAGCTCCTCTCGGCAGTCGCTCAGCTCTTGCCTGAGCCCAGGAGATCGTGCTCCCTACTTGGGTGCTATAGATCCCCCAGCAAAAGGTTTAACTTTTTGTTGGTGAAAAGGAAATATGAGGGGAATCAAAGAAGTTAAAGTCGAAAGATCCAACCCAAAAGCAGTACAGCCTATTGCCACGAAATCACGCTGCATGTTCCCATGCACCGTACACAAATAAGCGGAATGAATGCCAGGGAAGTTTTAACCGAATTATCCCATAGAGAAACGACGGTTACCTGTCAACAATCAATGTCAGCTACAGGAACATGATGAATACATTGGTATAGGTGCAATGCAATCGTAGTCCACTACAAGAATACTCAGGAAATCATTCTAATGTCCGCCTCTCATGATATGGGACAAACCCAAATTCTTGGCAGACGTAACAGGCCAGACATGGTCTCGCGGAGAAACGTTGTGGGCTTCCGAAGCATGCACACAAATTTCTGCAGGAGGAAAGCAGTACTTCAGTTCGTGGCTTGCACAGGAGGTTCCCCTACTAAGGTGTGCAAACCACCGAGGCGCTAAAGCAGTCCTTGGAATTATCTCACACGGCTGGAATCCCCATCTAAGATGAGCATTGTGTTGGTCTTTCAGCAGGTTACTGCTGTCTCTAGTTTGCAGGTTCGTACGCGCTGTAAGCACGCATGATAAGTGTTGTGTGCCATTGAAGGTGGTGTTTCTTGAAGGTTGCCGTTGAACCAAACCTGCTGTTGATCTTGTTGGGGGTGCTGATGTCACAAGAATCATGTCAATGCACACTACGGGCAACTTGGAATCTAGCCTGTATGATGCAACTATGGTATTCAGCCGTGTCAGCCAGGCCATAGAGGCCATGTAATAGCGTGAGGATATCTCTTTGCTTTCCTCTGAAGCAACCAACCCAAGAAAGCAAGCCACCTTCCGATGGTCTTAGTCCACCAAGAGACGAACCTATTTGAGCATGGCACATGTGTCAACTGTCAGGGCTGATGGCTGCGCTCTGCTTGGCTCTAAGAGCCGCGCTCACGCAAAGCTAGGGTCTCCTGCAGCGCAAATGGTCGCAATAGGAATTATGGCCTTTGGGAAAATGTGGCATCGAGGTAACCAAATGCTGGGGATGGTGGGGTGAGGTGGGGTGTTTGGTGGGATGGGGTGGGGTGTCGAGGGTGTGGTGTGGCGGTTGGAGGCTCCGATCACTGCCACAAGTGGAACACAGCACGTGAATGTTGGACAACTGGGCGGTGCTCCCAACAGATACGGTCGCTGGTTTCATCAACACGCGCTTCAAGATTTGGGAATCCTTCAAAAACGGGTGGAGGCTGCGTGAGACACTTGCTGAAGCGCGCAAACGTTGTGCAGCCCCTGGCACTTGAGTAGGATTGGCACTTGAGTAGGATTGTCGGGACGCTGATGAAATTTCATCCTGCCAACACCGACCCATTGATGCACAACCACCCAACGGCGCGCATCTAAGTTTCAGGCTCCAAGGCAATTATTCTGAAAACTCAGCAGTCCTTGGCCTGCTTTCCCACCCCCAAAAATGTCCGCGGTTGTTGGGAAAAGGGCAGCCAGCAAGTACAAGCAACGTTCAATGAAACCAAACGTTTTGAACGAAACAAGAAGCATAAAACCACAGCAAGTACGCCATCAAAGTGGCTTGTCAAATAAGATTGAGCCCTTCTACGGGGAGCGGAACAGGACTCCGTAAAAGGGCCATCAGGAGTTTCCCTTTCGGAACCAGACCGTTGTCCTTCCCGAGCGGATGGAACCAACCAAAAAAAAAGGGCCACGTGTAAGAAGTCGGCGCCACCCCGCGCAAACTCTTTGGCCAAACATATCGACTGCCTGCCGCTCAGGCGGTCCAAATCAGAGGGGTTGCAACGTCTAGTCGAAAAAGCCATGTTGGACACTGGACAAGACACCCCTTTTGTAATTGACGGAAAGGATTGAGGATTGCCTGTGCGCAGCCAAGAAAAACAGTCACGCTGCGCCCGGTTAGGCCAGCTGTACGCATCACTGTCCCAGCTCCTGGCACTGCAGCAACTCCAAGCGGCATGCCTCCAAACCCGAAGCGCCTCAAGGACTGGGTGCCGCTGCGTAGGGTTCGACCCCGCTCCAACCAAACACCGCCTCAACGCGCCAGTGCCGCTCGAAGCAACGCGGGCTACAACTCGCGCGTAATCGCGCGCCCGTTGCCGCTTCAAACAAAACGTCCCAGCCTGCTTCTCCAAGGCACGCATTCATTGGGGTTTTCTCCCGGTTGGCTGTCGCCAGCATGTGATTCAGAGCGGCGGGCTTTCGAGTTTTTAGCGTCTTGGCCATGCGCTGCTGGGAGCCCATGGTGTCATTTGAAGCCGCGAGCGCGCTCAGCTTCAAAGCCTGCGCCCGACGCCCGCAATGTGCCCTTTCACCGAGTTTCCGCCCCAAGCTTTCGGCTCAAAGTTGCCAACTTCACGCAGGTCTGCGTTCGCCGCCCGCTCGCCTAACGAAGCGCTTTGGCTTCCCTGGCCTTGCGGTGCGGAAACCTCCAACTCACTCGGCGCTGATGCCAGAGCTGCTTGTGCCTGAGCGGCTCCGCGCCTAGCTGCTGGGACGCGTGAGGAAAATCACGTTTTGTTGACTGCAGGCTGTCTCGGACGCAGAGCGCGGCCTCGTTTGAGTGTAAAAACATCAGCGTGCTGCGGCCAGCATGCTGCAATCAAGCTCAGGGACAACCGCAGCTGACGGCAACGTTGTTCCCCAACAATGCAGAGGCACAATGCCTATTAATTCACATGGTACAGGGTGGTCCCAGGGAGTTCCGCTTCGGTCCTCGTTCAAAGGGGTCCCCTTTGGCAGACAGACAAACCGTCAAAGTCACAAGTTGCTAAATAAGCAAATTGGAATTGCTCACAGCGTGTTCTGGATTCGTGGATTCAACATTTGAAAGGGGCAGTTGACGTTGTAATTTCAGACACGAATTTACAATTAGAGCTCAAGAGCCCCCGAACAAAATATCATCCAACTGCAGTTGGGGTTGGCGGGACATTCTTGGTTAAGAATTAGTTTGGTCTTGCCGAATGGAACTGTAGAATTGGGAGATTGGGGTCTGGATAAATCTTCCAATTCGCGGCTTGCGGCAATCCTGGACAAATATTGCAAATGGCTGGGCAGCAAACGCGAGATCAGAAGGCTGAACAACTTGCCCAAAAAACTTGCGGCAGCAAAAGGTCCTTCTGCACGCCGGTGAGGCAAGATCACGGCAGAGTATACGAGGCAACCAAATTTCAAAGGCTAACCCAGGCCCGGCGCACGCTCGGTACGCGCGGCTGTTATCATGGCAAGCAAGTCTTGAAGTCGACCGGTTTAGGTTTCAGGGTTTCAGGGCTTAAGCTAAAGGACTTTAGAGGGTCCGGGTTTTAGGGTTGAAAGGATTTTGGGGGGTCCGGGTACTAGGGTTGAAAGGATTTTGGGGGGTCCGGGTTTTAGGGTTGAAAGGATTTTGGGGGGTCCGGGTTTTAGGGTTGAAAGGATTTTGGGGCGTCCGGGTTTTAGGGTTGAGGGTTGCGCCATGGGGCAAAGCTTGAGAAGCCTTGAAGTAAAAGGACCACAAGCATACATGAAACCGAGTGACAGTGCTCGAGAGCTGCGTTTCTACGTGTGGCTCACCGGCCGCAAGTCCAATGTCGGGCGTTTGGTTTTCATTGGGCGTGGGCTTTGTTGGGGGGAACCTCCTTTTCTCAGTTGCCCAAAGGACCTGGAACTAAAAGGATAACCTTTTGTGGCTATGACTAAATATGGACCAAAATGGGAAAAACCAAAAGGCCAAAAGGTCGATACGCTTTGAACAACTAAGTTTTGGAATTTTACGGGAAATCAAGAGACACCGCGGCATCATGTTTCTGCAAGGTTTACTATTCCACCAGCTGAATTCAGGGATCCCCAAGTAAAAGGACTTGATCATGGCTTTTTCGCTCGTTCTGTCCCCGAAATCGGTGAGCTCGCGATGAATTCGGCCAACATCTTTGCAGGTTTCCCCGACTTTGACCACCCATTCAGGACCCACGGCCGCTGAAACTTTCCGGGTCCCGGACTGGCTCCTCCTCCCAGCCTGACGCCGGCAACCTTCCCTCCAGCTAAGTTTGTCCGTATCGTCGAGCCAGGACAAAATAACAACTATTCTGAAGCAAATGGAAGGGACCTTTGGGAATCAGACAGCCAGAAAGTAGATAAATACTCAATACTTGGCAACCGGATGCCAAGCATGGGCTTTTACCAAACGAAATTGCCGTTACTACGTTGACATGCTCAATACTTGGCAACCGGATGCACCAAACTTTGGCTTTTGACCAAACACAATTGCTGCTTTGAAGTTGAAAGACCTTGGCAACCGGATGCACGAAGCGATGGTTGTAAAACCTTGCCTTGATCTTGATCAGGATTTTGATCGAGTGTAACCTTTTGTGGCTTCGAGATATATTCTCTACTGCCCTATACCACTGCCGTACCCAATCTATCAGTGGGGACATTCACCACAGTGCTAACCCAACTTCCTGCACTTTGCTAATTCCGAAGAAAGCCTCCCCTTTGCAGCACGCAGTCAAACTGGATCTGCCATCAGCCACGCTCCTAGCTCGGATTGAAGGATTTGACAAGTACTCGCTGAACCAAGTTGTTGCCCCTGAAACAAGAGAAAACTCAATGCCCCCGGCCCCCCAAACAGCAACTCCCCCCCCACGCGTTGGCCCCCCAGACAACCCCCCCCCGGCACTTGTTCGCCCCTCCCAGTTCAAACAACAACACCAAAGTTGGAGCTCTATTTGGCTGCCAAAATGAAGAATGAAGACCACTGTTCGGAAGGGGGGGGTCCCAGCTTTGACGGGTGAAACTCGTATGCAGGCAAGGCCGTAACAGGCCGCTCAGGTTTTCTGGTGGTGCCTCAAATGTGGGTTGCCGGGGCTCGCCATCGAAAACAAGCAGCATGGCTCATGTGCACCCTCTGTCTATCACTCTCTCTCTCTGGCTCTCTCTCTCTCTCTCTGTCTCTCTCTGGCCAACCAGCTTAGACTGGGTTGGCCAACCACCTACATATTTTTACATGCCCAAACTTTTGCTTTTCAACATCCCTCAGGTAGGTTTGCACGTGTTTCCTTTTAAAGGGACATTTTTCCGGCAGCTTTGTTATTGAATCAGTCGTGCCCCAAGAGCCCTTCGATTCTCCCAGCGTGGTCCCGCAAGCGACGACGGCGCCTGCGATTGTGCTCCTCGACGATTTGATCGATCACCTGACATATGGCCGTGGGTCAACACCAATGGGATCCCATTTTGGTTGGTAGGTGAATTCACAAAACCCATTTTAGATAGCCTACTTTCGTGGTTGGATTGAATCGGTCCCGTTCACTGGGGGCTAACCGATTTGGATTTTGAAAAGCCCATGGCAGGTGGCACGTTTGGGGTGAGCCTCCAGGGTTTAGACAAACCATGACTCTTCACTAGCAGCCCATCAGTCCGAGCATCTCTGACACTAAGGACAAGGTTCATTGCAGTTCCTTGGGACAAACCAAAGGTAGTTGGCTTGCGAGCTCCAATGCCCTAGCATGAACAGAAGCAGGGTCTTTCCAGGGATCTGTACGTGGCAATTGTTTAAGTGATCCTTATATTTCACCCGACTGGGGAAAAGGAAAGGAGCCATGCAGTCTTCACAAACCCAGTCAACAAATGGCAAAAACCAGAATGGGTCGGTTTTTTTTCTTTAGGGGACCAACAAAACATTCAGCTTGGAGAAAAACATCCCAAGACACCGGCACCTGGAAGAAGTGGCCGGAAACGACGCAACGACGCCTGCGCATCCAGGTTCGCCGCCAGCTGCCGAAATGCCTCCGGACGAAGCGAATCGCCACATGGAGCGCCCTAGGCGAAGCGAGGCACCGCTCGTTCCCAGCTCAGGCGATCTCCGAACCGCAGAGCTCTCTGTTTACTGGGCTGCCCGTGTTCGGATCCCCCGCGAAGAGTGCCTAACTCTTAGTTAAATGGACATCTCCACCAATAAAAGGCTTTAAAAAAAAGCTATGGGGATGGCTGGGAGCCAACAAGTTTAGGATCATTTGCTTGCAAGTCAAAGCAGCAGGCTGAAACGACCTATGAGCAGCAGTGTGCTCGTTTCCCAAAGCGGTGGATTTTCCCCAAGTCAACAGCAAGCGGGACTTGCGGCTTCGTTGGTCTCATCGAACAACTGGAACGAACGAGAGGTTTGGCGCTGGCCTGGACATGACGCTGAACCCACCTCCCATGACAAAATCACAGGCGTTTCCCCACAGCCTCATCTTGCCTCGCACGCCACCGCCAGAGATCAAGCAAGGCATCCAAGCCAAACCTCCATTTGCGTTTCCGCACCTCTAGAAACCGCAAACATATGTCCAGTAGTGAAATTGATTCCCTTTAAAAACAACAACAACAGGAAACAACGATAACACATACTCATGTCAATGGAAGCCACTCCCGCGTCAACTCTCGTGCAACAGCACGACAGGTCGCGGCCAGAGATCGATCGCCTCCACCTTCCGCTCGACCAGGATCTGGCCCTGCGCCTGCTCCGACAAGGCCGCGGGGCTTTTGGGCCTCGGCCGCGACGTGTGCTGCGGGCGCAAAAGGGAGCAGGGCTCAAGGGCACCGCGAGTTTTGCGGCTGGCCAGCTCTGATGATGTTGATAGAGTCACAATCAAAACCTGGTACAAAAATGGTGAACCCAGAACCGTGTAAAGAATTAGAAAGGCGGCCGCAACGATTTCTGGCTGGGACTGCCCCTTACTAACCTTAATCTACCCGGGTTTTGATTGTGGCTCAACTGATCCCTGTGTGACTTATGGTATGAGTATGCAGGCTTTTGCTGGCCTCACTCATCTCCCCCTTTTTGCCAAAGTTGAATATGACGGAACGTGAAACCTGCTGTTGGGAGACAACTGGGTAAAGACAATTTCTCTAGAACATGGAACCGGAGAAAGCCCTTCCGAATGCTCCCTTTGAAAGGACCCTCTATCAGATTTGAAGTGTAGATTTGGGATAGGGCCATTACCAACCCAAACACCTCAGTTTTCATCACGAGCATGTCCACCATTCCAGCCCCAGCGAGCTTTTCCATGTTCAGTCCACAACATCGAAAGGTGGTTGACCTTGAAGCCCACTTGCGATCCTTCTTGGCAGTCGTGATGGGACCCGTTCCCCAAACAAATCCCTTCCCGAACCGATGCGACTCAGACCAGCGGCGAGGCGGCTTCTGCCGGGCGCAACTGGAACTCCTGAGCGAAGGTTTCGCTTCAAAGTTCAACCGAGGACTTTCGATTTTGGGAAGTGGGTTCAATGGCCACTACGCGAAGCTTGATCATGCATCTTTGCCTGGATCACATCAGTGCATTTGCTCAAAACACAAACCGACATGAACACTCCTTTCTCCCGGCAGTGCCTCCCAGAACCTTGGAACGTCCAATCACGGGACGTTTGCAGCTCGCTGGCACACACACACAAGGGATAAACAAAAAACAACTCCGGACACACACACACACACACACACACACCTGACTCGAAGTGAGCTCTACACTCAAGTTCAACGCCAATTGAATCTGTCCATGTGGCTGATTTGTCATTCTCAAGTAAAGGATACAACTCACAGCGGTGCTCACATTTGTGTGCCTTCTACCCTGACAGATTTGGCAGATTCACAAGCCTGATTTCATGGGAGATGTGCAGTGGCTCAATCAACACCTTTGCCAAACAGCCTAAACATGTTCATGCCAATGTGAACCCTTGTGGAAATGGGAACGCTGATGCGGGAAATATATGTTTGGAAGACTTCTGCAACGAGATGAAACTGCAGTTCACACTCAGGGCATCTGAGAACATTGTCCATGTCGCTGTCCTAAGGGAACCTCCACCCTTTTCCGGCTGCACGCCCAAGAAGGGGTTCCGGTCGAAGCACGTCCACAGAACATACTACGGATGGCAAAGAAACTGCCTCAAGGCAAATCGTGTTCCTGCTTGCAGCTGCACACGCTGCATGCTTACGCTATTTGCTCTTGTTTTCATCTTGGTGTCTGGTCATGAAGACGAAGTCGCCACAGCATCACAAACACACGGCCACAAACGCAAACATGACCCTGAATTCCTCTCCATGTCTGGTACCGAAGCAAGTACTGCACAAACACCAGCGATGATACCTCGTGATGTCAAGGCTACTGGTCAAAGGGCTACTCATCACACAAGCTGCTTGCATTTCAACACATTCCGGATCACTTGGTTTGATTTGGAAAACTCTGTTTCATTCCAAATACTTCTATTTACAGGCGTCCAGGTGGGTGGCTGGGAACATGGCAGCTCACATGAATTTCGGGGTTGTGATGTTTTTATCTCTAAAGCCGCCACTTGCCACTTGCTGCAGGCCTGGTGCTGCATTTGCACTATTCACTTCCGGGCACAGGCAAGGCTCAATCTAGCCATTGCAACCTGGAGCACGCCGCTTGTATGCTTGTTCGGCAGCCCGTTTGGTTCGCTAACTAAACTGATTGCTTGGCTGGCTGGCTGGCTAGCTGGTTGGTCGGTACACTTCTGCCTTGATGGCTAGATAATCTATGCTCCTGACAGATGACAATTCTGTTTTGGCGGACATCAAACGCAAACCCAAATACTATGTGCCCAGATTCATCCCATATAAATTTGAAAGGTTTTGACGAAACTGAAGTATTGTTAATGCTCCTTGCAAGCCCATGGGGGCCCTTTGTACGAATGGTCCAGCACGTCTGTTTTTTTCTGAACGCTGGCCTCGCGCTTGGCTCCGCAGTGCCTGCAGAACATGGAGTCGGCCATGAAGATGTTGCCTGGGACCGGAGTCCAAAGGAGACTTCGCGCTGCATCTGTGGAAAATCCTTGAGTGGTAACCAACCAACCAACCAACCAACCAACCAACCAACTAACCAACCAACCAACCAACCAACCAACCAACCAGGTAGTAAAGAAACCAGCCCTGGGAAAAACAACAACAACAAAACACAAAAAACAAACACCTCGTCCCTCGAGTGGTTGAGCGAACAAATAATCAGTGGAAAGGCTCGGAACTGCCTTTCCACTTTCCCGCAAAACAACAAACGACCAGGGCACTTTTCGTGCCGGTCACCGGTCTTAACATAAGCGATCACTGGACCCCCCCACTTCTCAGTACTTTCCAAGTGATGACATTGCCCACCTTGAAATGTGCCATCATAAGGTTCCCATTGAGGGGATCAACATGGAATGGTGATGGGTTGTCACGAAGAAGAACACACAAACCACGACATGATTTATTCTCAGGAGCAAAAAACAACACTTCATCCAACAATCTACATGGCTGTCCATAGCCAGAAACATCCAGTTGCACCTGTCTAAAGGCTGTATGACGTTGATTACCCGCCTTGTTTGATCCCAAGCTGGCCCCACCGAGCACCGACTCTTGCTCATATACCCGGCTTGGGAGTGGCCAACCATTCGGGGGGTGGGGGGTGACTTAGAGGTGCTGTGTGTGTTTTTGTGGTCTAGTGCTGTCTTTTCCCTAGCTCTGGTTTTAAGGCTGCCTGAGATCTTGCTGAGGGCGGGCCTTGGGTTGGTTTGGGGTTCATTGGGCCTTAAGGGCTGATATCCAGGCTTTGGGTGGGTTTGGGTAGGCATGGGGCGGATTTTTGCGCCAGCTCGGCTGGTTTGGCCGTGGCCTTGGTGAGTTTTGGGCCTTTGGCGGTTGGGGCAACGCGAACCGGCCCAAAACTCAATGAACATTTTAGTCACTGCTAAATCCGCCGCACACCAAGCCCCAAATCAGCCCCATGCCAACCCAAACCCACCCAAAGGCAACCAAAACCGATCCAAATGGCAACCGATCCCAATGGCAACCCCAGGTCCAAGTGAGGCCAAAGATGCTGTGGGGAGCTGACCAACCGACCGACCGACCAACCAAACAGGAAGACCAAAAGTGTAAAAACAAACACAGCCCTAGTACGCCGTTACTTAGGCGAACTGACATGGAAGGTCAAGTCTGTTGGCTGCTTGTTTGCTTGCATGCTTGTTTCTTCGTTTGCGCGTTCGCTCATTCGAGCGTTCGTTGGCTTGTTTACTGGCCACTCTGAAGTCCTTCACAGTGCCAGAAAGCTTGGTTGACGTTGGAAGGGGAGCAAACAACTAAACTTTAGCTTAGCAGTTAAGCGGTTAGGATGGAACACAAAACGCTGCCATCAGCAAGCCTGCAAAAGACTAGGGACAAGAAACAAGGCGAGAGCAATAAATCCTGGATCTGAAAAAAGGGGTAAAAGGGCACTACTGGGGGACATGATAGGGCCAGCAAGGATTTCACAAAGACCTTGCAATGCAAGCCCGCAGGTCAGCACACTTCAATGTGTCGATGCGGCTACTCAATTTCAAGCGTCCAATGACCTTGATACAATTATTCATGGCGTTGGCTCTTGAACATCTGTAAGTGTGCATGAACCAAACAAAAATGCCGGCTGCCAAAGGCTTGGAACCCTTTTGGACTCTGTGCAAAGGCCGCCCTTTCTACGAAGAGCATTCGGAACAGCCCACGATACCTAGAACATCCAGAACCTCGACGCTACGTCTCCGATGCAGCTGCGACGCCGCATCTCTGGCATTGAGGAGCCTGCGCCATGCGAATGGCTCCGTCTTTGAATCAAACGTGCTATGTCTACGGGGAGTCTGTTCTTGGCTGTCCGCTTTTTTCAGATGGGCTAAAAGTGACGAACTTGTGACTTAAATGGAAACTCGACCAGTAAACCCACAGAGGAACCGGATGGCTGGCCGCCAAGCTTTCATAAGGGGTTTGACTTGTTTCTATGTGCTTGCTTTCGCATGTTAAAACTACCTTGTTCATACTGTGTATGGACTTTCATCCATTTCGCACCACTTGGAACCAATGACTCCAGGGTTTAACTCTTCGAAAAACGTCCAGTCCCTGCCTGGTGGGCCGGGCTCGTCATAGCCATCACGGCACTGAAAGGTGGGTCGGCGGTCTGTTTTCGTTTTGCGCGGAGATGGGCCGAGGGCCGAAATGGGCCTTTGCTGGAACTCGAATAGGTTTTGTGGCCTTTGGTGGAATTTGGGTCATCCCGGATTATTATTGGTTTTGGTGTGGCTCTGGACGAGCCTTGCGACGCGGTGTTGTGTTTCGCTTTCCGGCATGCGCTTTGGCGATTCTCGACTTACCCGACCCTATGACCGCTGGATTCTGGCTGTGGGTCCAATTGTAGTGCCAAACAACTTATCCTTTGTGATGTCACACGGTCCCCAAAGAGCTTCAGAGCTATTGATACATGCTCCAAAGGCGCTGTGGCTTTGGGATCTGAGCATGGGATATAGCTTCCCCAATCCCCTTGTTCATCTGTGACTTGCAGCTAAGCCAAGTCGGAAACGAGCGGCTTGCCATCGGCATATCTCAGCACGGTTGCCATTCGGGTCATGCAAAGCTGGCCAGGTACTCAATTCGCGGAGACTGCGACATTGCTCTCTGCGATGGAATCGAGCACCCTGTTGCGCATTGAGTGGCCCTGGCCTAGAGTCTTGGAGATAAGGCAACCAAAGCGATGGCACTGTCTTTCTCAACTCGCACAGAAATCTGGCCTCGAAGCTCAAGAGCCGTCTGGTCAAATAGACATCAAACAGCTTCAAGAAACAGTCCCCCAATCCACACACCGAGTCGGGAGATGGGTCTGTTTGCTACCATCGGACGATGAAGCATGGCATTGCTATAGCCAGCCAAAAGAAGTTTCATTAGATTGCTTGAGGTCGCAAACCACTCATCATTGGATGGAGTGGCAAACAGAAATCAACTCCCTCAAGCCAAGAAAAAATCCGAGGGCTAGTAATGCGCGTAGAGTCCAGTAAATGAAGCCAGGCGCCAGCCAGCCACAGCCTAATATGAATACTGCAGGACCTACCTTCGACCCCCTGCCAATCAAGACAAAGGCAGAAATTAAATAGATGGAGTAAGAGTCAGTTGTTTCTGAATGTGTGATGAGTTATACATATAGACAGCTTGACTTTGCACACAGAAGTATTGATAGCATCAAGCACTAGATCAGTGATGCATTGCAAGATGGATTTCAGTCCGAGCAAAGCATCAAACACGCCGCCATCACAGAAGGCCAGCAATCGTTGGACGCTTTTCTGTCATCCACCTCACCTCATTACATCATGATTAAGCAACGAATTACAAGGTTGACAAACATCCAAACAATTCCAGCCACAATTCTAGGTCCTCCAGTAGAGAGGTTAGAATAAGGGTACCCGATTTTTTCTGTAGTCTATTTTAGTAGGGGAAACCTCCCAACCAAAAAAGTTGGTAAAAGGGCACTACCGGGGGACCTAGATGATGTTTGCATCGAGCAGATTCCCTGGTTCCCGCTCTTCTCGGGCCACGGCCGCATGATCCATCATGGATTGGGCGACCTGCTTTCCGTCAATCCGGCGATCCAGCGCATGGGAAGAGGGGACCATGCACAGAACCCCAGGTTTGGGTAGTTGAAGCGGGAAAAGAGAGAAGAGAGAACAAAGAGAGAAGAGAGAAGAGAGCGAGGAGAGAAACAGAAGAGAGGGAAGAGAAAAAAGGCAAGGAAAAGGATCAGTTTCCAAACATTCAACTAGGTACACCGCCCGTAGTAGCCCGTGTAATATTGTGCGTTTTTTGGCTTCGGAGCAATCTGTCGAAGCTGGAAAGGAGAGCACCGTCTGTCCCTCATGTAAAATGCGCCGAGACAGTGGGGAATTTCTTGCGTTCCCCCAACTATCGTGTGTCAAGGATTTTGCAATGTTCAAGACCGCATGTTGCCTGGGAACCGCATGATGAATTATTTTTTCAAGAATCGACGGGGGGTCCTTAGTCTGTTGTCGACCCAAAGGTTAACTCCCCAAATCTTAGTCAACCTATGTGGGCATACCGTGACAGCAGACACATGGGGTCCGCTGGTTGACACGCGACGTCCAGAAGAAAGTCCAGCAAGGCAGCCAGACAGTGAAAAAAGGACCCAGCACCGAGTGTGTGGAGAAGCAATGCGAGATGCCAGCTAAACGCAGCAAGATGATGAAGGCAAGGGCTAGACGAACGTCTTCTGACACCATGGTTTGGGCACAAGGAGCTACGGCAAAACAAGACAGCTCAGCACACTAACAAAGAACACCACACACCCCACAGAAACAGGAAATACAGAAATTCTTGTCAAGCAAACTCGAAGAAGTGACGCAATCATGCCCCCCCCCCCCCAACCCCCCACCCCCCACCAAAAAACAATCAAGCACAAAACAACACGAAAAAATGGAGTTCAAGCACAAAACAACACCAAAAAATGGAGTTCGTCCTACGGGCGGCTGTGGGCGGTGGTCCAACTACCTCAATCTTTCTTAAAGCTTTTCTTCTAAGGGCAAGTGTAATAAGGTTGAGAAGTGACTGCCAATCTGGCTGGCACAGGCAGGATTTGCAAAACATGAAGCAGACTCTGTCAACCCCGGTGCTGGCCGCTTGCCCAACAAGGGATCTCAATGGCCTCCAGAAATAAGACAAATGCCATACCGTGCCTGAAAGGAATCCTAATAATACGGGGGTGTCCTAAATTAGGGGACCCCCCACAAAGTGTTGGGTTTCCGTTGGTTTCCTTTACCAACCACAGCTTCAAAATGGCCAAGATGCTGTCGGATTGCTGTCAGCACCGTTTCAGAAGTTGAAGAGTTTAAGACAGCTCGGGCATGTATGGTTGTTGCTTCGAGCGTCCAACCTCCAGTTGTCAGTTTCAATGGGGGCCGTTCGTTAGTCACAAGCGAATAGAGCCACGCATTTGTTGGGCAGGTCTTGACGTGAACATGTTCGCCCTTCCAACTCCACGCATTTCTCTAGCGACTCAAGCAAAACAATCTCACATCCCAATGTTTTGTTCAACTCCGAAGGCGAGGAATTGGGCTAAAGGCATTGTTGCTGCGCCTCCTTTGAGAATTTGCTTCGTTTTCAGTGGCCTTTCCATTTCGAGATTATCTGATCTCTACGTCTCGAGCACATCCGATTCTTGCGAGTCAAGTCATCCTTTCAGCTCGAGGTGTTGCTTTTTCGGGCCTCTCAGTGATGTAGCCGCGTCCTAAAGACCTTCGACTGGGGGCCTTCTTTCAAGAGGCGTTGACGTTTTCTGGAAAAGAAGCCGCATATTTCTTGGAGGTCCAGCAAACATTCCGAGGAATCTCACTCTTCATACGCGTGTGCTTGAATTAGCCATCAGAAACGATCCTGGAACTCCCCCAAATGGTCTTGAAGCGAAGTTTGGAAAAGGAGAAGTTACAATGTTTGAACTATGCAGCAGAAAGTAACTGAAAAGGCTCATCCAGTGGAAAGCGACTTGTGCCGGACACTCTGGCTATATGCCCTCTGAAAAAGTTCTATCTACCAAAGCCCAAAGCCCACATTTTCCGATTTTGGAGGCCATATTTCCTTCCATTTGCTCAAGCTCCCTGGAAAAATATGTTCAGTAGTGGCTGATTCCTTTTAAAACCAGCCGGGGAAAATAAATAAACATAATCCTAAACAAATGGCAAGCTTTCCAAAGCTTAGAATCACCCCAGAGCCTTTGGGGGTAGCCTTCGGCGCATCTGTGTATCGGACCCGCCTTCCGCTGCGCCAGGTCGTCCACCTCTGAGCGCCCAAAGCCCAAAAGCAAGTGGAATCCACAAAACGAAGCACCCTCCCTCCCACCAGAAAACACCTGGAGAGGACCTGGAAGATCAATTTCTTGGAAGGCCCCAAATGTCAGATGCCACGGCAATGAGGGTAAAACGATGAAAACAAATCCCAACTGCTGTCCAGAACCCAAAAAGGACCGCTTGGCTTCCACTGTTCCATGGTGTGAGGCCGATGCCGCCATGACCAAACCAGACCTAGATGGCTTATTTGTGGTTGGGCCTGTGCACAATTTACCGACACTTTCCGAAAAAGAGTCATTGACGTTTTGCCTTTGCAGAAAACAAGGGATGCGGTGGTTGCGCAATCCTCTTAGGCACCACATAAGAAAGTTTGGCTTCTGATGATTCCTTGTAAATACCAACCATGGTTTACAAGTGGTGCGAAATGGACTTCGCGACCAAGGATGCCTTGCATGGCTTGCCGCTCGTCTCAGCCCCCTGCACCTTTCACGAACTGGCGATGGTGCGCCTGAGGGCAATGCCAGCCACACCGCTTTTTCGTCAATCTGAAAGATGACAGGGCTGTTGCCGAGAATAGGGTATATATACCCCCAAGATGGGTCACTCTGGTAAATGGAATGAACGGCAAAACTGCGGTCCATATCCTGGTGATTCAATGTTGACCCATACCCATAGCCTGAAACAAAGCACATGCCAAACTCAAAATCCTTTTGGTATCTTACCGGGTGTTTCAATGTTACAGTATGGTCTTACAGGATACAAAGCCGAGGCCAAGTTCATCAAGTCGAGTACCGCCAACAACTTGTACGATGCCGACCCTTTGCCTGTTACTACCCTCGAATCAACATCGGTAGTTCCGACTATACCATGAACCAACCAAGTGGCCTTGCAAGCCTCACCGGTCTCTCAGTAATCCTAGTGACAAGCAAGTCTTGTCAATGCTTGTGTGCCCCCATGTCGCGATCAAACTCCGTTGCTATCGCCGCTTTCATGTCATTTCCATGTCCTCCAGTCGAAACCTGATCAATGTCGAATGATCACGAACAAACATATTTTAGCTTTGCTTCTGAATTCTGGAGGCTGCAAATGCATCTTGGTTGCAAACTGCTTTCCCGGCCGCAGGATCAACATCCTCTGTCAGCTGGAAGCACTTCCACCAATTGTTTCGGAACATATTGCACTTACACAAATTGTTTCGGCGCATATTGCAGTGTTATGCAAGCATACTGGCAACAAAATTCATGCAAGCAACAAAGCCACCGTTGGCCTGCATTTTTGCTGAAGGTACAGGACGTCCCTCCAGAACAAGTCACATGACCCCGTCAAGCAATGTCATGTGTGTTTGCTCACTTCAATTGACATCAAACTGGGGCCATGTGTTGATCAGCATCCTTTGAGCAAAAGGCTGGGGTACTAGTGCTAGTAATTGCCCAGGCCGTTGTCCTTCATGAGCGCGCGCTTTAACCAGCGCGTTTGGCGTTCTTTAGGGGAGTCAGCGGCCATCTGGAAATCTGCCAACTGTCCATAGGATCACATGGCCATGGGTCGAAATCCGAATCGGTTAGCCTGTGAACGGGACCGATTCAATCCAACCACAAAAATAGGCTATCTAAAATGGGTGGTGAATTCACCTATCCTAAAATGGGAACCCATTGGTTTTGACAACAGCCACATTGCTCAACCTATTCATATAGGGAAGTGTTCCTGGGTTTAGTGGGGATCTATCACTTTTGTAGGGGAGTACCAAAATGGAACCCTGGTAAGTGGAAACATGGACCAACACCTGCGTAACCCCTCCTGTGTAATTTGGGGGGAACTCCCACATGGTACCATGGGCTTTGACAACCACAGCCACATTGTGAAAAAAAACTATCAGATTGTCGCTCGACGTGCCCTTTCCTTGAACTGCAGTGAGCGATGATCTGCAGGCGCCACCCATGTGCCTGAGCACAAAACGCTGCGGAACACAAAAGTGGTCAAGCCACAGTCATGGCCTTCTTCCATTTGGTTAAGAATAGTTGTTATTTTCCCCTGTTGGTTTTAAAGGAAATCGATTTCACTGCTGAAAAGACTTTCTTCTTCTTTTTTCAGGGGACTTAAGCAAATGGAGGCCTAAAGGACTTTCCAGGCTCCTCTTGCACTCCTCTTTTGCAATGACCCAAGTGATACTCTCCCACCAATTAACATGGAACCTGACTTTTGGGGGGTCCCGGAAGACCAGGTTTCTTTTAACGGGATTCCCGAATTCGTTCCGTTCCACGTTAGTTGGTGAGAGGTAATTATGACCTGGTAGAGCTCACAAAGTGCTCCGAAAAGCAGCCCCGCCAGTCAGCGTGCTCTGGCAGAATTATCATGGGCTGATGAGTTGTCTAATTTGCAAGACTCTACTTTGCTTGGTTGACGTTGGAAGGGGAGCAATAATATATATATATATATGTATATATATATATATATTTAGCAGTTAAGTGGGGATTTCCCACTAAATCACAATAAGCAAAAATGTAAAATGTTTCCCAACAACCATGAAGTTTGGGGGGAAAGCACTGCTGACATGAACCTTGTAGGGACTCCTCGCTCTCCTAAAAGTTCTAGGGAGAAACTGTATGCAACTTTCTTTGCCAGCAGCCAACATAGGGCGGCCAAAGGTGCTTCTCGGTTTCAACTTCGACGAAGCTCATCGCTTCGAGCTAGCTCTCTCCAACTCATGGCAGCTGGCCGTTGCGGGTGCGTGGCTTGGGCGCATTAATTGCAGCCGTGGCAATTGTGAATGACCCCTTGGCAGTAGAGAGGTCAAGCTGGAGATTTTGGGTCCCTGTGCGACAGACTCGATCCGGAAACTGGGTGTGGCTTCTCCTTCTCTGGACGTCCACAAATTTGAGGCAGTAGATTGCCTGCGTGGGCCCTGTTACGTCAACTCTGTTTTTTCCCGCTTGCCACTACAAAGCCAACTCTGCTCGCGTGCTTCAATCAAGAGCACTACATGTATCAATATATCTAGATCGGTCATAAAATAAAATAAAATGAGGCTTCATCCGCAAATGATACCCAAGAACAAGGCTCTCAAAAGGCTTCCATATATACGTCTCGTTGCAATGGCCTCTTACAAAGCACTTTGCAAAGTCTTCCGTACAAGCTTCCTTGTGCAAAAACCTCTTATAAAGGCAGCCTTTCAAAGGCTCCTCACAAGGCAACCAGCGAGATTACTCGCCCGGGGATCATCGATTCCGAGCGCCTGGCCGTAGAGCACTCCACCCCAATCTCCGATGACGTAGACTTGATGAGGCCGCTCATCTGCAGCGAAACTCGCCGGCTCGGCCATACAAGTATGTGGGGCTAAGAGATGTGACATCATACGGGTATGTCTTAAAATAGGGCAACCACCCGATATGGCGGATTCCTTTTTGGTTTCCCTTTAAACAAACCCAAAAGGTGCCCTCAAACAAACACCACGCACACATATTTACATGCGGAGATCTTTATGTCGGACCTCGATTGGGAGTATTCAAATTCGTGACGCCGAATTTGTCAAACACAGACCATTCCACAAAAGGCATAGAAAACACACAAACCGCGCTCTTGTTGCTCCTCCCTGGTTCCCCAGGTGTTACAAGCAACGGAAACAAACACACATAACGATCAAACGGAGAGACTACCCGTCACAGAAGAAGACACAAGGAAGCGGCAAACAAGAGCCCGCTTTCATGCGGGCCTGCCTGTTAAGGAGATTCTTTTAGCGTGGACGTGACCAAATGTCATCTAGGGTTGATTGGGCGTCAATCAGATCATCAGGGGACCGGGAGGTGAATGGTAAGCATTAAATGGATCTCTGTTCGCTACGGACAACCAATTCAGGACATCTTGTCGTCAGGAATTATGGCACAAGGCCAACAAGGGTTCACACACTCACAAAGGGCTAGGCAACAAACAACATTCGACAGGTGCCAAGCTGGTTGCAGCCACGTGGGGGTGGGGGAGGTGTTAATTTGCTCAATCCTCACTGGTGGTCCTAAAGTAAGGTTGCTGAAACTTCAAGGAACTGAACAATCAAAGGTTAAGACTTCCAAACTGCAAGCCTCACATTCTGGCTGAATACAGGTGAGGAACACTTCTCAAAACATGCCTAACTTTCAAGCCTCAAGGGGTATGCTTCTCCTCAGCCAACGTGACTTCCAAAACCCTCGCTTCCGGCCGGTCCCAAGCCCGGAGGCCCCTCTGTTGTCCGTTAACCCGGCGCTCAGAACCTGTGCTCGAAAAAATGCAACCGGCTCATATGCTGGAAACGCCACGGGGAAATCTACGGCCGTTTTAACATGGCACCATAGTTGCTGTCTTTAAAACGACATTGGCGACCTGCAAAGGTCCCGCTCTTCTAGGTCCCAGTGAACTTCAAGGGCAAACGCCTGCAAATCTGGACCTATGACATATCGGGCACGTGTTTGGGTTCTTGGCCGCTGGCAAAATCCCTCAGAGACAGTACACTCTTGAAATTAAACCAGCGGTCCCATCTCTCCAAAAGCCAAGGGTCATTTGGGCATGTTGCAAACTTAAACAGCTGAGGTTACGCAGCTGTTAGCTTTGCTTCCATATGATATACCAAGGTGCCATTTTGGGTACCATCATTTTAGCAGTCAGTTGTTCAATGATGTCCCTTTGTCACCAGTCAGGAGTGCTGGAAATCCCAAGAACGGCCGACGGCCGTTCTCCCGCCGACATCGAGCCACTCGGCCTGCACTGATGTTGAAACCTGGCAGCGGGACTCCGGAGGCAAGCCGGCCGACAGGTTGACACTCTTGGGACGCTCCGACGCACTGCACCTCTTTTGCTTCAACTGCACACTGAAAACTCTGGGATCCAACTCGCAGAATTTGTGACGTCGCCTCAAAAAGGCGAACCCGCACAAAGCTCAGGCAGGGGGGCCTGGTGGAATTAGCTTCAAGGCCCTCCTTTAGACAAAATCTGTGTCCAACACGAGGAAAGGGCACGGCCTGACACTAAGTACGAACAACTCTTTAAGAGGGCAAGATGGGCATTCCGGTGCTCTCATCAGATCCAGAGTGAACAGGTTTTCTTGCCAACGTTAGGACCTTTTGGGAGGCCCTCCCATCTGCCATGCACTTTGTCTCCTACTGCTTCTCCAGACTTGACTTGTTTTCAGGGGCCTGAACCAATCTGGAGTCTGGAAGTCTGGAAAGCTACCCAGCAAAAACATGCGAGTCATCCATGAACACATAGCCGGCGAGATGATTTCTTTGCCCGCTTGGCGTCGGCTTGTCCTGTGTACATTGTGGGGCAAGCATATAAGAGTAAATGTCCCTTCAAATTCACCGCACAAAACAAACACAAACATGCACCCTGAAAAAAGGACCACCCGGAAAACCGACTAATTCACCAAACACAACAAACAAACATGCACCCTAAAAAAAGGAACCACCCAGAAAAAGACTCGGTTGGTCCAACAAAAATAACGCGACGGTAATTGCCAAAAGGTCACACAAGACTTCTTTACCAACCACAGGCATATGGCATGCCCTAGGACTCTGACCTTGAACCACTGGCTGGGGTCTTCACTGGTTTTGTCGTGGCCACTTGGCAGGCTGTGGGTCAAATGATTGCTAAAATTTTGACCCATACCCAAGTGTCTCTAGTCACTTATTGGTTTGCAAAGACATGCAGCCTGCATGTCTTCGAGGGCTGCATGTCTTTGAGAGCTGGCGCAACCTTGCCTGGGTAATGAACATGCCATGCCTTTTCATGGGAATCCTGACGACGCCAACTAGATGCCACGCGTTCCTGGGTTACCATCGACCGCCCTGAACGTATGCATTATGTGCATGTGTATATAATCTGCATACATATATATATACACATATATATATATATATATATACACACATGCACATGTCTGTTTTTGGAGGCTGCCCCAACAAATTGGTGAAAAAGTTGGAACGTGTTGATAACCAGGCACCATTTGCTCCATGCCATCGCAGCAACTGACTGCACGGTGAATCCATTCCTTCGTATCAATGGTCTGACGGAAAGATCCCTTCAGCCGACTCAGGGCACTCTGGGCCAACCAGTTGCAAATTGAAGAAGGATCTTTCTTGTTCAGTCTTTCAATGCCAGAAATGGGTAAAAAAGAAAACGAACCCCCCTGTGGTTGCTTTTGTTTCTCAAACAAGAAAGCAAAAAAAAAAAAACGTGGTTGTCGCAGTAAAACAAAAATGAACAATCATAAAACATGATAACAATCATGATGATCATAATAATAATATTTAAAAATAGGAAAACAGGACCAAGAAGAACCGGTAGCCGTGGCAAGAGCTGGTGTGCTCCCACTCCCCATGGGCCGCCGGCAGGCTGGCTTCAGGTCCACGAGACCATTGTACTGCCTGCGTCCGGAGACGAGAGGCGGGGGGCATTTGATGTGAGAGGCGGGGCCGGGTCTGAGGAGCTGAAGAGCTGAAGAGCTGAAGAGCTGAAGAGCTGAAGAGCTGAAGAGCTGAGGGTCTGAGGGTCTGAGGGTCTGAGGGTCTGAGGGTCTGAGGGTCTGAGGGTCTGAGGGTCTGAGGGTCTGAGGGTCTGAGGGTCTGAGGGTCTGAGGGTCTGAGGGTCTGAGGGTCTGAGGGTCTGAGGGTCTGAGGGTCTGAGGAGCTGAAGGTCTGAGGAGCTGAAGGTCTGGGTGAGGGTTTAGGGTCTGAGGGTCTGAGGGTCTGAGGGTCTGAGGGTCTGAGGGTCTGAGGGTCTGAGGGTCTGAGGGTCTGAGGGTCTGAGGCTTTGGGTCTGAGGGTGAGGGTTGAGGGTCTGAGGGTTGAGGGTCTGAGGAGCTGAAGGTCTGGGTGAGGGTTTAGGGTCTGAGGGTCTGAGGGTCTGAGGGTCTGAGGGTGAGGGTCTGAGGGTCTGAGGCTTTGGGTCTGAGGGTGAGGGTTGAGGGTCTGAGGGTTGAGGGTCTGAGGAGCTGAAGGTCTGGGTGAGGGTTTAGGGTCTGAGGGTCTGAGGGTCTGAGGGTCTGAGGGTCTGAGGGTCTGAGGGTCTGAGGGTCTGAGGGTCTGAGGGTCTGAGGGTCTGAGGGTCTGAGGGTCTGAGGGTCTGAGGGTGTGAGGGTCTGAGGCTTTGGGTCTGAGGGTGAGGGTTGAGGGTCTGAGGGTTGAGGGTCTGAGGAGCTGAAGGTCTGGGTGAGGGTTTAGGGTCTGAGGGTTGAGGGTCTGAGGAGCTGAAGGTCTGGGTGAGGGTTTAGGGTCTGAGGGTCTGAGGGTCTGAGGGTCTGAGGGTCTGAGGGTCTGAGGGTCTGAGGGTCTGAGGGTCTGCGGGTCTGAGGCTTTGGGTCTGAGGGTGAGGGTTGAGGGTCTGAGGGTTGAGGGTCTGAGGAGCTGAAGGTCTGGGTGAGGGTTTAGGGTCTAAGGTTTTAAGGGTCTGAGGGTCTGAGCGTTTGAGGGTCTGAGGGTCTGAGGGTCTGAGGGTGAGGGTTTAGGGTCTGAGGGTCTGAGGGTCTGAGGGTCTGAGGGTCTGAGGGTCTGAGGGTCTGAGGGTCTGAGGGTGAGGGTTGAGGGTCTGAGGGTTGAGGGTCTGAGGAGCTGAAGGTCTGGGTGAGGGTTTAGGGTCTGAGGGTCTGAGGGTCTGAGGGTCTGAGGGTGTGAGGGTCTGAGGGTTTGGGTCTGAGGGTCTGAGGGTCTGAGGGTCTGAGGGTGAGGGTTTAGGGTCTGAGGGTTTGAGGGTCTGAGGGTCTGAGGGTCTGAGGGTCTGAGGGTTTGCGAGTCTGAGGGTCTGAGGGTCTGAGGGTGCGGGTTTAGGGTCTGAGCGTTTGATGGTCTGAGGGTTGAGGGTCTGAGTCTGAGGGTCTGAGGGTGCGGGTTTAGGGTCTGAGCGTTTGAGGGTCTAAGGGTCTGAGGGTCTGAGGGTTTGCGAGTCTGAGGGTCTGAGGGTCTGAGGGTGCGGGTTTAGGGTCTGAGCGTTTGAGCGTTTGAGGGTCTGAGGGTCTGAGGGTGAGGGTTTAGGGTCTGAGGGTCTGAGGGTCTGAGGGTCTGAGGGTCTGAGGGTTTGAGGGTCTGAGGGTCTGAGGGGGTGAGGGTTTAGGGTCTGAAGGATTGAGGGTCTGAGGGTCTGAGGGTCTCAGGTGTGAGGGTTTGGGTCTGAGGGTCTGAGGGTCTGAGGATGTGAGGGTCTGAGGGTTTGGGTCTGAGGGTCTGAGGGTCTGAGGGTCTGAGGGTCTGAGGGTCTGAGGGTGAGGGTTTAGGGTCTGAGGGTTTGAGGGTCTGAGGGTCTGAGGGTCTGAGGGTCTGAGGGTTTGCGAGTCTGAGGGTCTGAGGGTCTGAGGGTGCAGGTTTAGGGTCTGAGCGTTTGAGGGTCTGAGGTCTGAGGGTCTGAGGGTGAGGGTTTAGGGTCTGAGGGTCTGAGGGTCTGAGGGTCTGAGGGTCTGAGGGTCTGAGGGTCTGAGGGTTTGAGGGTCTGAGGGTTTGCGAGTCTGAGGGTCTGAGGGTCTGAGGTCTGAGGGTGCGGGTTTAGGGTCTGAGCGTTTGAGCGTTTGAGGGTCTGAGGGTCTGAGGGTGAGGGTTTGGGGTCTGAGGGTCTGAGGGTCTGAGGGTCTGAGGGTCTGAGGGTCTGAGGGGGTGAGGGTTTAGGGTCTGAAGGATTGAGGGTCTGAGGGTCTGAGGGTCTCAGGGTGTGAGGGTTTGGGTCTGAGGGTCTGAGGGTCTGAGGGTCTGAGGGTCTGAGGGTCTGAGGGTCTGAGGCTTTGGGTCTGAGGGTCTGAGGGTCTGAGGGTCTGAGGGTCTGAGGGTCTGAGGGTGAGGGTTTAGGGTCTGAGGGTTTGAGGGTCTGAGGGTCTGAGGGCTTGAGGGTCTGAGGGTCTGAGGGTGAGGGTGTCGGGTCTGAGGGTTTGAGGGTCTGAGGGTTTGAGGGTCTCAGGGTCTGAATGTCTGACGGTGGGGGTTGAGGGTCTGAAGGTTTGAGTGGGTGAGGGTGAGGGGTCTGAGGGTCTGAGGGTTTGCAAGTCTGAGGGTCTGAGGGTGCGGGTTTAGGGTCTGAGCGTTTGAGGGTCTGAGGGTCTGAGGGTCTGAGGGTGAGGGTTTAGGGTCTGAGGGTCTGAGGGTCTGAGGGTCTGAGGGTCTGAGGGTTTGAGGGTCTGAGGGTCTGAGGGGGTGAGGGTTTAGGGTCTGAAGGATTGAGGGTCTGAGGGTGTCAGGGTGTGAGGGTTTGGGTCTGAGGGTCTGAGGGTCTGAGGATGTGAGGGTCTGAGGGTTTGGGTCTGAGGGTCTGAGGGTCTGAGGGTCTGAGGGTCTGAGGGTCTGAGGGTTTAGGGTCTGAGGGTTTGAGGGTCTGAGGGTCTGAGGGTGAGGGTTTAGGGTCTGAGGGTTTGAGGGTCTGAGGGTCTGAGGGTGAGGGTGTCGGGTCTGAGGGTTTGAGGGTCTGAGGGTTTGAGGGTCTCAGGGTCTGAATGTCTGACGGTGGGGGTTGAGGGTCTGAAGGATTGAGTGGGTGAGGGTGAGGGGTCTGAGTCTGAGGGTCTGAGGGTGCGGGTTTAGGGTCTGAGCGTTTGAGGGTCTGAGAGTCTGAGGGTCTGAGGGTGAGGGTTTAGGGTCTGAGGGTCTGAGAGTTTGAGGGTCTGAGGGTGAGGGTTTAGGGTCTGAGGGTTTGAGGGTCTGAGGGTTTGAGGGTCTGTGGGTCTGAGGGTGAGGGTTTAGGGTCTGAGGGTTTGAGGGGCTGAGGGTCTGAAGGTCTCAGGGTGAGGGTTGAGGGTCTGAGGGTTTGACGGTCTGAGGGTTTGACGGTCTGAGGGTCTGAAGGTCTGAGGGTGAGGGTTGAGGGTCTGAGGGTTTGAGGTCTGAGGGTCTGAGGGTTTGAGGGTCTAAGGGTCTGAGGGTCTGAGGGTTGAGGGTCTGAGGGTTTGAGGGACGACCATTGGACTCCAAAGGAAAGAGGTGCTGACTGGACGAGGAATCTCAGTGCTGTCTTTCTGAGATCAATGATGTCGCTTGCGCACAGGAAGCAACCCCTTTGTCCAACCGGAGGGAGCAAGCCTGAATGGCCAAAGTCGGCCAAGCAAGTGGAGATGTTAGCTTTGATATGCTTTGATCAATGACCTCCAGAAGAAACCAATTCAAGGAAGCGTCGCAGTTGATCCTACTAAAAACAACTCTTACACCACTGCGCATGAATTGAAACCAACTATGCCTACTGAAGAAATATCTGGAAATCTCTCCTAGTCAATCTGACCCTCCCCCCCTGGTTGGCTCGATCTCCGGGTGGAACAAGCTGATTCGAATAGCGCCGCCAAAGGAACAACAATGCATGCGCCACAAGAGCAGCGCTAGAACAGTGCTAAGTTGTGCTTTACCCAGTGAATCAGTTGGTCAATACATTGCAGTTGTTTGCACAAACACACAAAACCTAGTAAACACTTTCTGGGCCACATGTGTCTCTGCTGTTTAGGCAACTTGACATTTGACAAAGAGCTCTCTGAGTCGCACGCAGAGCATGCTGCGGCTTCTCCGGAGCATACCACCTGAGCGCAAGCTGCATGTTTGACCGACCTGACGGCATGTCTGGAGTAGGTTTCATGCTCAAGAAACAACTTCGGACGAAACATAAATCATCGCGTGCCATGAGGGCAGTGCCTAACCTGAGCAAAGTGGACAAAGGAATGTGACTCCAAGAGACCTCCCGATGACTGTGGTTGCTGGAAGTCGGATCGCTGGTTCAAGATGATGCAACTAGTTCTTCAAGACTTTCTGGTAAACAACAACATTGCACTTCTCTCATGAAGATTTGCAACAATATTGACAGGTTAGATCATGCTTTCCGTCAACAGAGACAACCCACGGGGCAAGTCAAAAGTTGGCCACTTGCCCGTGGGCCAGGCAAGGCTTCTAACATGCACCCACTTGACATGCACGCACAAGCGCGACCAGCTGATGTCTTCGCTAGCCCATTTGAGCAAAGGCTTCCTTCAGTCAGATTCTGGGGACAAGGATCTTCGAGTTTGTGGTTGGCTTATCTTCCACATTGTGAGAATCAACAGTCGGCTTCCATTATCCTATTCGGGCTGGAGAGCGCTTTCACTTGCTCCCAGGCCATCACAAGACACATGTTTCTCTTTCAAACAGCACACCTCAGATGCCCAGTGGCCATAGGAAAAAAGGACACGGTTTTTTGTTGGTTCAGATTTAAAGGGGAACCCTTACCCAAAAAAAGACAAGAACAAAAGAGCACCACTGGGCAACAAAGACACGCGCAAGATCCTCGCCTTGGCCTCCCGAGGTATCCGCAACATGGCAACCACTGTACGCAGAATGTGCCTTGGAACCCACGCATCTACATTGGACAAGTCAAGCCTGTCACCAAATTGGGTGTATCACTTTTTGAGGGTACCCTTTGTTTGGTAGGTGTTTTATATAACCAAGTAGGGCAAACCACCATTTTGGGGGGGCCCTAGAAAAGAAAACAACCATTTTGGACGCCCTGTAGAAAATGATGCACTGAATTGAAATTGAATCAACAGATTCACGAACAAACAGCACACATTCGAGCCAGCCGCCGGAGCCTTTCAGCCTTAGTTCCGCGCCATGGCGGGCAGGTCACGCCCTCAGCACGGACAAAAGACGAGGACGGGGGAGATGCCGTGTCAACTTGGTTGACGTTAGAAGGGGAGCAAAAACTTAAACCACTAAACCACAATAATCAAAAATATGTAATGTTTCCCAACAACAACCATGACTAATTGGCAGAGACGGTGAACCGTACCTGGGCTGTCCTCAGATTGCTAAAAGTTTAGCTGCTAGGCAAGGTCAGCCAGAAACTGGCAAGGCCATGTAAGCCAAAGAGGGTATAGGAAACTATGCCATGCCTTGTGTGTATAAAAAAAGAGGACTAAACCCTAAAAACCTAAAATATCCTAAAATCCTGAGGCACTGCTGGGAACTGCCAAGGTAGAGAACAAGGCCCATGGGAAGGGACCGTTCCCTTTCGATTCAACCAAACCACTTGCGGTTTGGAGCAGGTTTCTCGCTGGCCCGCGTCAAGCAACCTACCCAGCTTTGGGCAGCGGTGGCCACGGGTTCGGACGTCATCGTGTCCATGGCACAGCAGCGCTTCACATACCAGTTTGTCATGGTGTTAAACCCTCCAGCTTGGCGTGCCTTCCATTTGTCGTATCGGATTCTTCAGGTACAGGACGGCAAACATTACCAGTAGTTACCGACTACAAAAGCTCCAGATTGAAATAAAGTATCCAGCTAAGGCACCATTGCACCTCCAAGTTCTTTCGGAATTCCAAAATGTTAAAAATGAGAGAACTAGGTCTCCCGCGCCGGGAGGCAACTCACCTTAAAACAAAACATTATAAGCTGGGTCGAGCTATTTACTCCTAATTGTCAGCAACATCTATGAAACTTGGGGTCAAGTTACTGTGCAACAGACATCAACATTGCCTTCACAAACCAGCGCAGCTCGAAAGAGCGAAAGAGAAACTCAGCGTCTCAATTACATGGTCATCCTGGCATGTGAGTTGTTCGCATTGTCGGTGCACATGTAACATTTTGAGTAGTACACCACCATGATATCTCATCCAGGCCCCCTCCTTGCCAGCGTGGTGTTCAAAAGATCCTGAGCAGAAGCTTATCAGCCCCAGCCTTGCTTCAAAACACTGCTTGTTTTCACTCAACTCCAGTTTACCTGCAGCAAGGCTATCAAGTCAAGTCTCGCTTTACATGCCAATGGAATGACACGGACTTGAAGAAGACTGCCAGTCAAGTGAAGTGGTTGGCCGCGCGCGTGCGTGTGTGTGTGTGGAATTGAAGGGGCCAAAACGTGCGACGGAAAGTCCTTCGTGGCCTATGAGACTGGTTCAAGGGCAAAAGAAAAACCACCTTGACGGAACAAAAACATGCCACGGTACACGATAGAAGCTAAGCTTGTCAAAAAAACAGAATCAGTTTTGAAAGCCACCCTCCATCTTGGAACCCCGATTGAAGTTAGAGGTCTCTGCTTTGGGGAGGCGTCATCCTATGAGACTGAGACCCCTGCGAAAGCAGATGCCGCCAAATCACCTTGTATTCGCCACCAGTCCCGCAGCGTCTAGAAGTGTTCCCCTCCAAAAGTGGTCTGATTCCCCACTAAAACCAGGGAAAAGCACCCCCCCCTATCAATAAACTGGTTGGTTGATGAAAAATCAGGGGTCAACATTCTTCGCCAGTCCCGCTGTGTCGGACAAAAGGAAGCTTTCCACCGAACAAGCGGCAAAACGCGAGCGCTTCGCAGGGCTTCCCAGCCGGGAACTCTGGTTGCTTTGCCAGAGCCGGCCAGGCCTAGGCAAGCAAAGGTCAAATGCGGTGAAGGACATGGTACAGATTCTTTTTGAGTCCACGAATCGTTCAGGAAAATTCGGGGCCCCCTCATGTGCCTCCCAAAAGGACCACAAACCACTAGATGGTTTAACCAAGCTGATGGCATATCCGCATGTGCAATGTCCCTTCCAGTTGAGGCTTGCCAACCAATCCCTGAGCTGCCCCCCATGAAGAACACCTTTTGAGCCATTCAGGATTGTCTAGGCTTCCCTCAAACTCCGGAAATGTATCTTTTGCTGGATGCCCTGGTCCCTGCTATCATTCAGCGCCCTCACGTCAGGAGGAGCGTAGAGAGCCTGCACCACTTGTAAGGCCGTGGATCTTCATCTATAATATGACCACACCTCATCAAACCTTATGCCGGCTTTGGAAGACTCCTGCTTTGCTGCCCTTCCCCATTTGACTGGTTGCTCTGGTACCAACTTGCGGGCAGAAAGAGGGCCATCCCTGCTTACCGAAAGTATCCTGCGCATTGGACAGCGGTTGTACAACCGCTGCCACTTCAGCGACCATGGGCATCCAAGGCCAGGAACATGTGGTCTGCGTCCTCTGTTTTCGCCAAGTAAGCGAGGAAAAACCTTGATTGACGTTGGAAGGGGAGCAAAAATGAATATTGTTTAGCAGTTCAGTGGGGATTTCCCACTAAACCACAATAAGCAAAAATGTAAAATGTTTCCCCATGAAACAGTGGTCAGTGAAAAGATACTGGTCAACGCTGCAACGTGGCAGAACGTAAGCCAGTCAGGGACCCTTTACAACCCTTGGTACGGTACGGTAGCAAACCACTTTGTGTTTTGCTGCCCGAAAAGTGAACAGAACCAAACAACAGAGAACTTAATAATGCCAACAACAGTGAGGCAGCAGTAGGTCCAAAGGAAAGACTTCGGAATCGCCGAAAAGGCCTCAGTCAACCCGAGGGCGCTGCGAAGACCGCCGCAGCCGCCCAGACTGCGCAATGGGACTGCACTGACCAACGAGCGAACAGGAGCATCATGGTGAGCACAAAAACTCGCTGGTGCAACAGGTAGGGAATGAGAAATGAAATGAACCTGGGGATTCCCAAATTAAGGAAGCCACCAGTTGGATGGCTTTTCTTGGGGTCATTCCATTTCTCATTCCCTGCCTATTGCACCAGTAAGAAAAGAACGGCTTACTGCTCTCTTGAGACAAAGTGTGGTGCGCCACTTTTGTGGCAACGCAAAACACATCCCGGCTCTCAGAAGAAAGTTGAACATCCCCACCACGATGGGCTAAAACCTGAAAGGCCACAGAAAAGACCCACTAGAGCGACTTGCAAAAGCCCAACTGGCAGCAAATGGCCGTACTCAGAGAACTCCGGTTCAGAGTTTCGCCTCGCGATCTACCCACATTCCTAAACGACAAACTTGCTTGCTGCATGTGTTCCATTCAGGCTCAAATGCAGAGTTAGTCCAAAAACTCGGGAGCCAGGTGGGAGTTGTGCTAAGAGTTCCAGTTTCCCTGGAAGGCAACAGGAAATCAGCTGCTTGCAAAAGTGGCCAGTCTAAGTTTAGATGCATTGCGGTAGTGGCAACAACCACCATCCGTCAACCAGCCGGCCTTGCCAGGACATGGCAAGAGCGGCCAAACTGAAAGCAACAAGCTGCAAGTAGTCACAGCTGCTGTGTTCTTTGGTTCTGGCTGCTGTGGGTGGCAAGGGGATCCCTCCCAAACAACTGCTCAATACCCTCTGATACTCACTCAACTCACAATGGCATTGTATGCGTGTAGCCTTCGCTGGTAAGGACCATCTCTAGTGTTGGCGACCTAACATGATGTCTGTGTTACATAAATGCTTCCAGTTGATTGTTTCTGTCACATCTCTTGAGTTTGCTCATTCCCGGCTTCTAGTCGCAACAAGCGGACCAGGCCGCCCAAAGGAATTGGGCAAAGACTGGCAGCGGTAGAAATCGGACGGCCAACCAAATGACAGCCAGAACGCTACTTTTCAGGATCACTCCTTGGAACGCCGATGTTTGGCGATCCTTCCGAGCTCACTCCCCATGAAAGAACTACCTCAAAGGACATTTGTTTGTGGTTGTTCATGTTTGGTAAGAAGTGGAGAACCAACTGCGTAACAAGCGGCGCTTGCAGACAGCGTGACGCTCAACTTGGGTTTCAACTTGCGGCCTGTGTCAGGGATCCTTACATTATACACTTGAACATTGCCTTGTCAATGGTGGTTTCCCTTTATTTTGGTGGAAAAACACATGTTTCAAATGGTTGCAAAATGGAGATCTTTTAAGGAGCCCTCTGTGTCCATACTTGCTTTCCCAATTTGACCGCCGCAAGCTCGCGAACTTCTTCCCTCCTCACCCCTAGAATTGTGTTTTGGCCTCTCGGGTAAGCCTCAACCATGATTTGCACCGCGCGTGCGTTGCAAGCCGAAATTCTCAGGGCAGCATCTTGCCCAGGTTGCCTGGGATGGCTGCGGATGGGCAAACGAAGTCAGCAAATCGGCCTTATGAGACGCTACTTCCCGGGGAGGGGAAGTCACACCACCAAGACATCCAAGACACCCAGAGAGAAGAAATATATGGCTGTGGGTCAAAACCCTGTACCCCTGGTGAACATCAAAATAGCTGGCATCCCCCCAAAACGAGATCGCCATATGCTCCATGGCCATATACGCGGGATATGCACCTGGGATGGTTTTCCGGCCTCCAGGCGTGAGAGGCACTCGAGCGGCATTCAAGCATTCGATCTCCGGGTTCGTGTGACCAGAGAGTGCAATGCAGAGAGCACACATTCGGGCGAGCATCTCGGGGGTGTCGGAGAGTCGCAAAAGCCATCCCAAATCCAGAGCGAAACAAAAGTGCTCTGTGATGAAATGAGACTGTGGATGAACGAATCCAGTTCGCACCCAAGATACCCAGTTTATTGATTATTCCCCTGCAAATACCAACAAACA